ATGGCCGCCCACGTGGTTCTCCTCTTGCCCGCCCACGCCCGCGCCCCCAGGATAAGGGGGAGGATCAACTACTTGGTCGTCCAGCCCAAGGTGGGTGGGGGAGAGAGAGGCTGGGAAGGGAGAGGGGGGGATGAGGGAGGGGAGGGAGAGGAAGAGTCGAGGGAGGGGAAGGAGGAGGGGGTGAGGGAGAGGGAGAGGATGGAGAGGAGGGGATGAGGGAGGGAAGGGAGAGGATTGGGTGAGGGGAGGAGTGGATGAGGGAGGGAAGGGAGAGGATTGGGTGAGGGGAGGAGTGGATGAGGGAGGGAAGGGAGAGGGGGTGGATGAGGCAGGGGAGGAGGGGGTGAGGAGGGGAGGGAGAGGAAGAGTCGAGGGAGAAAAGGGGATGAGGAGGGGGTGAGGGAGGGGAGGGAGAGGAGGAGGGGGTGAGGGAGGGCAGGGAGAGGAGGGATGAAGGACAAAAAAAGGAGAGAAGGAGAGAGAGAGAGAAGTGGAAAGTATGTCTGTTTATCCAATACTCAAGAAAACTTTCATCCAACAATGGCTTTCATCATAATCCTGCTGAGTTTAAAACATCCTTTAGCTCATAATTAGTAAAAACATTATACATGTAATATTATAAAAAAACTACCACTATAGTAACAGTAAAAAGAATTATAGCAATGGTCATGATAATGATAAACAGTACAAAACAGTAATAATCCTCAATGATAGTAATAATAAAGGTAAGTATTAAATATTCATCAATAGTAGTAGTAGTAGTAGTAGTAGTAGTAGAACTTGATGGGGATGGTAACATAAAGGTGATGGTAATACTAACAATAATGTCTAATTTTTATATCACTACTAAAAAAAAAGAAAAGAAACATTTTTTTTTTTTACCGGCCTCCCCAAAGTACACTCAAAGGCCAAACAGCCTAGGTATCTTTCTTTCTCTATTTCTCTTTCTTCTCTTCTGTTCCTCTTTTCTTCTCATTCTCTCTTCTTTCTCTCCTTTGCTTCAATCTCTCTCTCTCTCTCTCTCTCTCTCTCTCTCTCTCTCTCTCTCTCTCTCTCTCTCTCTCTCTCTCTCTCTCTTTCTCTCTATTCTTTTCTCTTCCCCTCTCTCTCTCCCTCCCACCCTTCTTCCCACCCACCCTCTCTCCCCCTCCCCCCTCCCTCTCCCCATCAATCCTTTCCATCAGACGCCTCCCCCACCCACACACCCCCACCCCCACACCCACACCCCAAGCAACCCATTAACCCAAATCCTTTTATCCGAAAGTCCTCCCCCTCCTCCTCCCCCCCTTTCCCACTTCCTTCTGCCTCGCCTACAGGAGGATCTGCTGGAGTTCCGGGAAGTGTTTTCCTTCGGCGGGGAGTCCCACGGAGGGCAGGCGGCGGAGGAGGTGGTCGGGACGTGGGTTCCTGAAGGAGGGGCGTCGCAGGGGGTGCTCGGGGGGAGGAGGAACGTCCTCGCGCCGAAGGACTTCGTCGGGAACAGGATGCGCGTCGCCGTCATTGAGGTACTTTTTGTTGTTGTTGTTTTCGTTGTTGTTGTTTTTGTTGTAGTTGTTGTTTTTGTTATTGTTTTGTTGTTATTTTCGTTGTTGTTGTTAATGTTTTTGTTGTTGTTGTTGCTGCTGTTTTTGTTGTAGTTGTTTTTTATATTGTTTTGTTGATATTTTCATTGTTGTTGTTAATGTTTTTGTTGTTATTTTCAATGTTGTTGTTGTTGATGTTTTTGTTGTTGTTATTTTCATTGTTGTTGTTGTTGATGTTTTTGTTGTAATTGTTTTTGTTATTGTTTTGTTGTTATTTTCGTTGTTGTTGTGAATGTTTTGGTGTTGTTATTTTCATTGTTGTTGTTGTTGATGTTTTAGTTGTTGTTGTTATTTTCGTTGTTGTTGTTGTTGATGTTTTTGTTGTTGTTGTTTTTGTTGTTATTTTCGTTGTTGTTGTTGTTGTTACTGTTTTTATGTTGTTTTTGTTATTTTCGTTGTTGTTGAGTTTTTTGTTGTTTTTGTTATTGCTTTTGTTGTTATTTTCGTTTTGGTTACTGTTGTTGGTGCTGTTTTGTTATTTTGGTTGCTTTGGTTTTTGTTGTTGTTTTTGCTACTGTTTTTGTTGCTGCTGTTTTTGTTATTGTTGTTGATGATGTAATTATTGTTGTTATTCTTGTTCTTGTTTTTGTTGTTGTTGATGTTAGTGTTTTTGTTGTTCTTGTTGTAGTTGTTGTAGAAGAGGGAGAAAAAGAAGCAAGAGGAACAGAGGAAGAAAAAAAGGGGGAGAAGGGAGGAGGGAGGGAGAAGAAGAGGAAGAAGAAGAGGGAGAAGAAGAGGGAGAGGAAGAGGGAGAAAAAGAAGGAGAAAAAGAGGGAGAAGAAGAGGGAGAGGAAGAGGAAGAAGAAGAGGGGGGAAAAGAGGGAGAAGAAGAAGGGTGGAAGAGAAAACAAGGAGCAGAAGGAGAAGAGGTGGGAGACGAAAAGAGATAAGGAGAGGGAGTATGATAAGCAGAATAA